CTTTTATTTATGTAGTTTTTTTTTTTGGATTTGGTCCCTCATGTTGAGTGCTAACCGTCGTCTATTATTTCCGTTAAGTATAAGGACAAAAAGGTCAATTTACAATGTGAATTTGATGTGTATTTTTCAATTTTTGTATCCCATGTGTCATACTCAACTATTTATATGACTCTAACTCAATTTCATAATATTCTTTTATCATTGTCGCGGACAATGGTGACGTAGTTGGCACATTTCGGTCCTTCCAAATGTTTCGAAGGACGGAGCTGTTTTTTAACACGTGTTCCCTCCTTCAAACTTAAGATACACGTGTTCTAATTGTGGAGGGACTATGAAAACGAAAAGGCTTGGTAAAGTAACAAAATAAAAGTCTATCTAGTGTTTTAAGATAATTATTAGTATATTTTAAATAATCATAAAGGGTAATTTCGTAAATAAAAAAATTGACAACTCATTTGGTAACCGTGAGGTCCTAAATTCTCTCTATCGCTTTACCAATCTCTCCATCATCGCTTCGCTTCCAAACACCATGGCTTCACAAACAAAATATGATGGCGACGAGGAAGAGGGATGCAGTCGGAGATGGAGCAAGTATTTCTGGAGTCGGAGAGGATGCAGTCGATGAAGGTGGTGTTTCTTTCGTTGAGTTTGAAGCGTTTTCCGATGCGGGGTTTTCTGACAAATGTGTTGAGACGTGTCGGCGACCACGACGGGACGACGATTTCCATTTTTAGTTTGGTAGGGACCAAGAAGAGGAAGATACACAAATCGGGTTTTAGATCGGTGTCATAACCAAGATCGTAGGCATTGGTGGTTACGGAGGCGTTGGTGATACCCACATATCAGAATTGTTTAAACCCTAATGATGGCTAAGTACAACATGAAAACGAATATTGATGTTCTTCCATAGACGGACCTAGAGGGGTGGTTAGGTGGCACGTGCCACCGTATTGTTCCTACGTGGTAAGGTAAAAAAAAATTAGGTTCGTGAAAGGTGCAACCGTTTTATCTTGACGTATTTGAAATTCAATTCTTTTCATATTTTAGATTCAAGCTATTGATCCATATTTATAGTTTTTTAGTTCGATATATACAAATTTTTATGTGGAACTTCTTTGATCGGATCTATAAAGAATGCCAAATCTGATTAGTTGAATTGAAATCAATGGTTTTTGGTTACAAATTCAATTTCAGAAATTACGTGTTAAATGATTAGTGGTTAATTTGTTTGATTAGATTCAGGTTGTGACCAAATTGTATTGTGGAGAGGCAAGGGAGAAGCTAATTCAAGGAATTGAAGAGCTAAAGTTGGATACATTGGTCATGGGTAGTAGAAGACTCACTGCTCTCCGGAGGTTTCTACCCTATTTTTCACAATGGTATAACAGTGGTATCACAATTTATTTTATATGTGTTTGGGTATCACACTGAGAGTCGTTTGTATAGTCGATCAGAGATGTAACACAGTGACATCACAATGCATCTTATATGTGTTTGGGTATCACACGGATGAGTCGTTTGTGTGTCTTTTGTTTAACATAGTCAATTTTTTAGGTATCACCGGAGGACGGAGAGATGAGAGTTTTAAAATACCTAAAATGCCCCTTAATTATAATTTTAATTCAAAATTATAAATTTCTTAATTTATCTATTGATTTATGGTTGAAATTGGATCTCACGATTACCATAAACTAGTGAGATCTCTCTTGAATGGCCCCTATATATATATAGAGGTGAGTTATTATGCAATCATTTATATTTGTACAACCAATACAACTCAATCTCAACTGTCCATTTAATTTGATGAATATGTGATCTCATAAAAGTTTTGATTGTTTCTTAATATTAAGTATTGATCATAATTAATGAACTCTAGTAATCTTTTGTAAATATTCAAATCATAATAAACCAACTCTCATCATTTCCATAAATATCTTATTTGGTTGTACAAATGGACATGGTTGCATTTGAAATATACCATATATATATATATATATATATATATATATATAGGGTATATTTCTTTTACAACCTTGTGCATTTGTACAACCTTTGCAACCCAATTAATTGAGATATTTATAGAAATGATTGGAGTTCATTTATTATGATTTGAATATTTATGGAATATGAGTAGAGTTTATTAATTATGATTAATACTTTATATTAGGAAACAATTACTTGATTAAAAATTGAATGGTTGAGATGAGGGTTGTATAGGGTGTAGGAATGGCAAAGGGTGTAAAATAACATCCATATGTATATATATATATATACATATGTAGATATATGAGCGATCAAATACAAATCGTTTTTTTTTGTACAAACTAGCATCAACCAATAGCATAATTTCATTTAATTTCCTTTATTTTTAATTCATAAGGGTATAATTGTCATTTGACTTTATAATAAATAATTTTAGTAATTTTTTAATTGTGTCTAAATCGAAAATATTATATAGGTTAAAGGTTTTTTAGGAAATGATCAATCAATTTGTTTTTATAATAATTTTGAAAGAGGTAAATTTTTAATAGATATTTACTAACATCAATGAAACCAGGTAATTTTCAATTAAACATACTCAAACTGTTCAATGAAACAAAGTCATATATGATTGCATCATGTTCATATATATAACAGCTGTAATGAAACAGACTCATTCATTTTGCCTTATCGTGTCTCCGATATGAATTCTTTTTTTTTTTTACTTTACTTGTTCAGTTTTTTTTAATCTCGGTTTTTATCAAAAAAAAAAAAAAGATAGATGTCATTAGTTTATAAGGTTTGTATGAAACAGATAGTTTGCAAAGTAAAACTTTTCTCTCTATATAGGTAGTACAAGAAACATAAAAGCTAGAAAGTGGAGCACGTCTGTAGACTAAGTCTAGCTAAGTACTAAATCAAACAAAACAGAATACTAGCTAACAACTATTAAGATAATCAAAGAAAATTTCAATCGTAGATGTTACAAGTCATACAAATTAATATTAACCATTCATCTAATCTAATTAATGTTTGATTTTATAAATATCTAAAAAAAATTATAATCTAAAGCAATAATTATAATAAATGAACTCAAATATCTTCTATAAATATTTCGATCATAATAAATAAATCAATAACAATCTTCTATAAATATTTTGATTTTTTTTATAATATAAAGTTTGTATGGTTTATAAAATAGTAAATTGAAAATTCTTCTAAATTAAGAGATGAAGATATGGATCTATGGATGGTTCTCCACTATATATATATTGCATGAGAAAGGGAGTAAAATGACTACTTTACCCTCATGTTATAAAGAACATGGGTTGAATTAACAGATGAAGTTAAAAGTTGTTAATCGAGGAACTAAAAACGAACAAAAATACACCACCACAAAGACTGATTTGAAATAAACGAATTATACGGATCAAAACCAAGAACAACCGCAAAACGTAAATACGTAATTTACTCTTTATTTTTTGTTCTGAAACCAAAAATAAAATAAAAATGACCGTTACAGTAACTTGGGGAAATTACAAGCCAATTAGCCATATATAATGATTAATGAAGAAGAAGACGACGACGTACTACTTAAATGACAAAAGAATACTAGCATACAATCGTATCCAATGGACCACCAAGAGACAGTATTGGAATTGTATCAAAACGTTTTTTCCAAAAATAATAATAAATAATAAATAATCTATATTATATTATAAAATATTTAACAAAAACTCTTAAAAATCATTTTTTATGTAATAAGTACCGTTTGTTGATGCATATTACTTAAAATTCAAAATTACAAATAATGAATTAAAGATTAATGTTTGAATTCGTGTGACTAACTGCAGATAAACATAATCAAATACAAGATAATCATTGAGTTCTAATAAAATATTTAATTATTATCTTTATAAAAAATTATATTATTAAACCAAAAATAAAAAAAATGAAGTAAAGAAATACATAAAAAAAGGAGAAATTTTAAATAGTTAGTTTGATACTAATATAATTTTTTTTTCAATTTTTTTATGATATATCTTCGTATTTATATTTTATTCAAAAATAAAAGCATTATCGTTTTCTCAAAACCACTTAAAACTGTATTATAACATCAACCGAAATAAATAAAAAACGAAACATTAAAATCGAGATATATCTCGCTGCATTATACGAATACCCTTCTAATAAATAATAACAAAGATAATTTTTCAAAGAAAGAATTAAGAATATATGGTTTAAAAGCATCAAGTAAAGAACCCACCCCGAATTTCACTTTGGCTGCCCTACACGAATGGCATCAATATTAATTAAAAAAACTCACCTAACGTTACATTTATTTTTATCCTAAAATTAATATTCACATATAATTAAATCAAAATAAATAAACATGACTTTTAGTTTTATGTTAAATTATCATCAATCAAAGAACAAAAATTCTATAAAGACATGATGGACGTACTGTTTTTGTCTCTTTCGTAATTATAGGTGCTTTGTCCAGTCCGCATCTAACTCGGTTGATATTTACATATATCTCGAAATTATTGTATTTGAACTTCTATGGCTACAAAGGTATTTTTATTTTTTATTGAATTTAAACCTGAGACTTTTTGGTATTTTTGATTTTTGAAGTAAAGCTCAAAACAATAATCACCACATGTATGGTTAATTTATTTTTATGTGAAATTTTAATTTAAAGAGAGCCAAAAATCACACCGACAATTAAAAAATTGGAACACCTTTTGATATGGCTGTCTGTGGGTGGTCAAATTAGTCAAACCATCTCTCAGATTTCATGTATTTAACTCCTTATTACGACAAATTTGAGCTTCCTTCATCCTTCTATGGCGGGTCCATATCCACCAACCTACCTTCCCTTCTCTTCTGACTCCACCCTCCTTCCCCATCTTACTTAAATACCCACCTCTTTCGCTTCTCCTTCAATCCACCTGCTTACCTTTTATCTACTATTACTTGCTACCCGCTTCACTCAAACTCAAACTCAAACTCAAACTCCGATGCCGTCGTTTCTCAATTTCTTTGGTTGCTATACAATCTCCGATAAGGTGGCGGATTGCAGCGCCGAAGACGGTGGTGCAAGTTCCACCACCGCAACTACTTCTTTGAACAAGTTCTCATGGGAAGAGATAAAGAAACGAAGTGGGAATTTCTCCACGGTTATCGGCTCCGGCGGGTTTAGTACCGTCTACCTTGCTCGATTACCTGATTCCACCTTAACCGCCGTCAAGATCCAGTCGGTTGGCACTGAAAGGTTAGCCAGGATTCATGATCAAGAGCTTCAAATCTTGCTCCGATTAAAACACCCAAATATCGTGAAGCTTCTTGGACACTGTGATGATAGGGAAGAAGAAGGTGTGCTGTTGTTTGAGTATGTATCCAATGGCACTTTACATGAAAAGCTTCATACCAAAACGATGAGTTGGAAAGCCAGAACTTTGATCGCACGCCAGCTCGCGGCAGCTTTGGAGTATCTTCATGGGTTACAGATCATCCATGGAGATATCAAAGCTTCAAACATACTTTTAGACGAACAAGAAAACTGCAAACTTTGTGATTTTGGGTCAGCGAAATTAGGGTTTACTTCTATGGTTCTACCTCCATGTTCAACCAAGAGGAACAGATTAATGATAACGGGATCACAAGGATACATGGATCCAGATTATCTGAAAACGGGATTAGTTTCAAAGAAGAATGATATCTACAGCTATGGAGTTGTTCTTCTTGAACTGGTTACAGGGAGAGAAGCGTTTAGTTTGGAGAGAGGGGAGATGTTGACGGAGGTGGTGAAAGGGGTGGTGGGTATGGAGGAGGTGGTGGATCCACGGCTGAGATACGGTGGTGGTGGGGTGGATATGGAGGAGGTGAAAGATATGGTTGCAATGGCGGGTATGTGTATTGGATGTTCACCCATGGCTAGACCTTGTGCAAGTGAGATCGTGGCATGGATGAAGGACAAATTTGATTGAGTTTTCGTTAAAGCTGATATGATTGTATTGGATAATTGTTCTATCGATCATCATCAACTTTAAATTTTTATTATTTTTTTTAATTTTTATTTTGCAATTTTGAAGAAAATGATTGTATAAAGATGAAGACAAGGAAAATATGGGTTCCAATATCAAATCTTTGTTTATAAAATATAATATATTCTTTTAAAAAGACTTTTACATTTTCATAGTAATATTTTATGATTTTTGTTTTGTTTGTCGTGTACACTTTTGTTTTAAATCAAAACCAGTTTTAAAAATATGTAATTATTGCATTTAAAAGGTTCGTTACAACAGTCGTCATAAAGTGTCACTCCATGTTAAGTTTGTGTCACGTCATGGTTAATTTGATACGTTGTTTTTGTAACATGATATTTGATTTTTCTTATATTTTTAATGTCTTAGTTGTTAGCTTTTAAAATACAATACAATATAATTTGTTTATTATCACTGGCCCATTAAGTAATAGAAAAAATATATGTTTATATATATATATATATATATATATATATGGGGGAAATGTTCAAACATGAACCCCAGTAATTTACGAGAATACAAGAACAACGTATAAACCAAGCATTGTGTTTTAAATCACGAAATTAGAGGATTTTTCAAATTTAAATTAATATTTAAAAAATTTCAAAAATACTGTGAAAAGGTAAAATCAGAAATTGATATACTAAAATTCAAATAACAGGATGAAGATAATTCTGATTATCGAGGAGTGATATACATTATGGTCAATAATTGAATGTTCAAATGTTTCTATATAATCTAAATTATTGGTTAAAAAAATTGAAGGCTCACAAATCTTCAAATGTTTCTATAAAACAGAAGGATTCTCGTTTAAAGTTATCTGTATATACTAAAAATGAGGCAACTTGTTGCCGGCTTGTAGTTATAATAAATCGTCGGAATTAATTAATTATATCAGTTATTTTAATTAAATATGTTAAACATGATACAAATCTTATTTTTTGTTTCCAATATTTCAACTTTATATTACCATTAAAATAAGACGTTGGAAAGTGAAGGCTGTCTAGATACATGTTGTGTTTATTTTAAATGAACATAAAAATTCGTCTTATTTTAAATAAATATAAAAATCGTGTTGTATTTGATTTAAAAACTTGACCTTAACATATATATATATATATATATATATATATATATGGAGGTTCAAACGAGAACGCATTCATTTTACGATAATGCGAGAACACCCCTATCACATGTGATAATACGCGTAAAGGGATCTTGTGATGTGCGGACGACGTGTTGTACGACTTAGGTCGCGCCAAAGGTTGTCAGCGTTTATGATTTAGCATCACATGTGATGGTCTTGATGAATTATAGTATCATATCAACAACACCCTTATCACATGTGATAATATATACTTGTGAGAGGGTTTAGTGGTGTAAGGACGACTTGGCTCGCAACCAAGATCACGTTGAAAATTGTCTGCATCTGTGATTTAGTACCACATGTGTATTATATGTGATGGAATAATAGTATCACATGTGATTGTTTATAGTAAAAGGGTATTCTTACATTCTCTTAAAATAAATGTGTTCTCGTTTGAATAAAAAGAAAAAGATTTGAGTTTAAATATTGAGCGTGGATGATGTTTAACCAAAATATGAATTAGAAGGCTGAACGAACAAGACACGTTTGTAATTGTTTATTTATTTATAATAAGAGATTACCATTTACAATAAATAAATGAGGATTAAAAAGTAAACGAAAATGACAGAATTGGTTGCTTTGTCATTTTCAATCTATACTTTTATGGCTCGGTCTTTTTCTACCTCATTCTTTTTTCAATTTCATTCCCTTTATTATTATTTTTTTTAATATTAACTAGAAGAATATCCGTACAATGCAGCGAGATACATCTTGATTTTAATATTTTATTTTAATTTTTGTCTATGTCGATGTTATAATATGATTTTATATATTTTGAAGAAAACAATAATGATTTTATTTTTGAATAAAATATAAATTTGAAGATATATCATAAAAATTTGAAAAAAAAAATATATCAATGCTAATATCAAATCAACTATTTAAAAGTTTTTATTTTTTATGTAATTTCTTTAATTTTTTTTTATTATAATTTAATTTAAGTTTAATAATGAAATAATTTATTTTTAATTTAATAATATAACATTTTATAAAGATAATAATTAAGTATTCTGTTAGAACTCAATGATTATCCTAATTATATTTTAGATTTTTTATATTTAAAATAAAATGTTTATCATGTATTTGATTATGTTTATCTGCAGTTAGTTATACGAATTCAGATATGGAGCTTTAACAAGTTGTACTTACGCACAATCTACTTGCAATCTTGAGTTTTAAGTAATATGCATTAATAAGCAGTACTTTACGCATAAAAAGTGATTTTTAAGAATTTTTGTCAAATACTTTATAATATAGTATAGATACTACTATTATTTGCTTTTCGTTTATATGGTATTTCTTTAGTTTTAAAGATAAGTGTTGATGTATCCTATAATTAATTATGAGATTGAGAAAAGCATTAAGGGTAAAATGTCGTTTAGTTATTAAGAAAATGGAAGGTTTTAATTCGCGTGAGGTATGATGGCGAGACCACGCCTTAAATCTTATGGTGACAACTCTTTATATATAGGTGAAAGATCGAGTGAGAAGGGAAGTTATGATGAGAATAAGAAGATATCTGAACCATTCATCATTTTTATTCTCATCCTATTCATGAATTGTGTTTTAGAAGAGAATTGATCTGATCCATCTCAGTGCACCTCATTAACGTTTGACATTCATTTAGGAGTGATCCAATGGTGGAGATCTCTTCTTATGCTTCTCAGCATAACTTCTCTTCTCACCGGAACCAAACCATATATATATATACACACACACACAGACATATATATATATATATATATATAGGGTTGGGTTCACGTGAGACCAAAAGTTTTTCGTGAGACCCGTAAGATCAATTTATGTTCACTGATCAACTTTATAAGCTAATGATCTAATGGTCTAAAGTTGCACGGTGACAATTTTGTGATTATTGAGAAGTCTCGTGACAATTTTGTGATTATGAATGTTCAGATTGTAGATCTAATCCAAGGGTTGAGAATTGGTCTTACAGGTTTCACGAAAAACCTTTGGTCTCACATGATCCCAAGTCTATATGTATATATATATATATATAGGGGGGAGATCAAATGTTAACCAACAATTTTGTGTTAACTTTGAAAACCATGACAACCAATCAAATTCCATTATTATTGTAGGTTTATGTCATGTTCACATTTTAATTACAAGGGTATTTCAGTAAATTGATTTGATATGTAACGCCCAAACAATTAATGGGGAGTTACAAATCATCAAATCCCAAAAAAAATATGCATTTATAATATTAATATTAATATATTTTTTAATCTTGATCTTTCATGTTCATTGTTTTATCAGTTTTTAATTCGCATAAAAAACACGGTTGTAAAAATTTTCGGTATCGATCAAGCTAWTATGGATAAACGCAATGGAAAATAAATCGACAACAGTGAGAAGATTAAAATGGTTTATGATGACAATTGGAGTTCGAGGTCGGGAATTGAAGAAATTAATCAAAGCGAATGTCTTGATAATAAATTTTTATTTTTTTTAGATTTATTTTAATCGAAATTATGTTCATTACGATGTGTTGTGTTTTTTATAATTCATCTTGTATAGATTATTTTTTTTCTTTAATTATTAAAATACGTACCTAATTCATATGTTCAAATGGAAGTACAAGCACGACCCATTTTCATATTGTCATATTACCGACTTTTATGAATCATGAACCATTGTRTYCATGTTACTTYTATCATATRAACACAAGTGTTATTTTTTAAGCTTGATACCAAATCTTTATATTTGTGTAAGTGTTTGCACCAGGTGTTTATAGCGTTGGGGTTATGTGTTCATATATTTTATACGATATGAACAAGGGTGAACACGATATGAACAAGGGGTGAACAACCATATAAGATCAGAAACATATATGAACAAGGGGTAAACTTAAACGGTGTGGATGCAATGCATGTATAAAACTCCAATTGACAAAGGATCGCTCCTGAATGTGTTTATAATGAAGGACCTATTGTTCACAAGCTATTGATATCGTGTTCATACCTGTTTTTTTATTTATTTCCTTTCGTATAGCAGTTATTCTTATTATGTTCATTTGTGTTCATAAATGCTATGCAGTCCAAGTTTATATATATGCCAAATTTTTGTTCGTATTTGATACAATGATTCATATATATATATATATATATATATATATATAGTTGTGTTCATATGGTTTTTATATTAACAAAAAAATCATAGAATTTTTTATTTTGTAACTCCCAATTAATTAATTAATGATATGGGATGGGAGTTACATAATTTTTTTTACCTAAATACCCTTTTCAACTTTGTTCACTTATCTTTATTAAATTTTAAAAAATAATTTTTTATCATGATTAATCACAACCGTTTATTGAAAGATTGAATAGCCAAGATCGGTTAACAAAGTTAATACAAAAACTTTGGTTAACATTTGAACCTGACCCTATATATATATATATATATATATATAAAGAGAGAGAGAGAGAGAGAGAGAGAGAGAAGGTCGTGTGAAAATAGGAGTTAAGGTGAGAAGCGTAAAAAAGGATCTGGATCCTTGATCACTTCCGGTCTCACCCTCACCCCATGAATCAAGACTCGCAAGAATTGATCTGGTGCATTTAGGTGCATCTTATTATTGTTGATCTTCAACTAGGATTGATCCAAAAGGTGGAGATTCATTATATCATTCTCATCGTAACTTTTATTCTCACCGGAACCCAACCATATATATATATATATATATATATATAGAGAGAGAGAGAGAGAGTGTGTGAGAGACTTAGGATCGTGTGAGACCCGTAAGACCACCTTTTTACATTTGAAACTTCACTAAAACACTATGAAGGTAACTTTCACAGTGTTTTTGCTGTGAAAGTTTGGATTATTTTACCTTCACAAGTTTCAAG